TCTATCCTGCTACAACGGGGTAACCGGCAAGGCACAGCGTCGTCCCTATGACCGTTTTTCTCCTCGGTCTTCAGTCTTTACTATGTTAGAAATATTTGCACAATAGTAATCCGATATATTATAATCGTCATCATGTGATTTTGTATGCAACGCGTTAAGGTCAAAGGGACGTGAGAAATAATATTTTGTATTCTTGTTTGTTCTGTGCAACAGTGTTGTGTGGGGATAATGTGTGTAAATGACAGTAACCGTCTTGCATCATTGTGCAATAATAACAATTACATTGGGTAATGCTCTCATCAAAATCGCGCGTGACAACTGTAAGACAAGCGGGGGCGAAGAAGTGTAAGAATTCATTACAAAAAAAAAAATTATAAAAAATTGAAGAATTTGTTTTTGTGAGCGCGCGTTTATTGCGTTGCTGTTGCCGCCGTCGAGAGAATCGTGCAATGACCTTGCGGCGGCCACGTTTTTTTCTCCACTTGATAAATTTATTGTTCTTTTTTCTATTCTCGATGACTCGTTTATTATTGAGGAAATTTTTTTCATTTTAATACAGACAAAATGATACTAATGTGTTTTTCTTTTTTATATTTTCATGACCGAGACATTATTAGTAATTATTCAAATTAACAATAATAATCGAACGCAACAAATGCTATTATCTCGTCATATTCGACTAACACGGCAACTCGATAAATATTTGTACTATATAAAGAAATTATTTTTTTCCTTCAGGCTTTTGAACTTAAACGCAGGCTTTTTCCAATTAAACGCTTATCTGTTTTTAGTAGTAATTATCATTATCTCCTTTATAACGTTTTTTTATTGATTTTATTACGAATTCATATGCACTCGATTATAACACAAAACATGAATATTATTCAAATTACAATTGCCATTTTACTATTGTGTTACAATAACACCTCGACCTCGCCTGTCTGCAGATTTTAAGAGATTTCATGAGTTTCCATTGAACTTGAGCTACATCGATATTGTTTTATTGTTATTACAACAGAAAAACTTGACAGAGGTTGTCGAGGTTTCATCCATTCAATTACAATGATTTATCTCTGCAATATTGTAATGCAAAATGGTATTTTACGTTTATAATTCGTTAATGTAGTCTGTTTCGACGATGCAAACAATTGCAAACATTATGTCGTCTACCAAAATAAATGTTGCCCTCATCGTCTTGCAAGGGCGGGAAAAATTTCTCGTCAAATAGTCAGCACTATTTTAATTTGGATGTATGACAAAATTAATAATATCAACCGACCGACCTTGAGTTATTTACAAATTTCTGTCTATTATCACATTGTGTTAATTTTAAATCGATTTTTTTTCTTAAAACATAGCGTGGACTTCATTTTATTTATTTTAAAACATCTAGCCACACACGTTTATTAGATTTCTCGCATTAAAACGAAAGATTTCCGGAATAATAGCGAAATTATGTACTAATTTAAGTATCTCGTAATACGTATGCATGCCAATGCGAATAACAACTGACCATATTTAGAATATTATGTTTTCATTGAACTTGATTGTGTAATAACCCGTTATTAGCAATAAGTGATTATAGAGTCGGTTGTTGTTGTTATCTGTTGCGGCCTAAAATTTATTCAACGAAATTATATGATTTAACATTTTACAAGTGCACAAAAATTCGATTTACTAGCCTACGACAAATATTTGGTACTACTGACGATGATAAGGATGTTGTTTTACCGACCAGGCGCAAACGTACGTGATCGAAACGTACATTTTTTTTTATTTCCGGTTGATAGCAGTTCAGTATAACGTAGCTAATATTTCTAGTTTCATATTGATATCAGTAGACTACCATGAATTTAAGATGATATTTTTCTCTAATATTCAATTTATTAAAAATAAATATAAATCTGGTAGTCTTCAAAAATTATTTGCTCGAAAACCACTGCACATGAATAGAAAAGCTAAATACTCTTTTTAAATGAACACCATTATATTCATTCGAATACATATTGCCTATTAAGATTATACCTGTCAACTGTGGACGTGACGTACTTGGACTACATTTTTCTAATACACACTGACCCGTACTCTTTACCTTCACACATAAGAGTAATAGGATCCCATCCTGCGGGTGAGTATTCACGACGCACGTGTTTTTGCCTCCCATATTTTCCCTTGTCGCCTAGAAATGCGATACTATTTTTCTACTATGTCCTGAAGTGCACGTGGTAAAATCCAAAAGACCCTTTTATTAAACCACCATGTATCTACTTAAGATACAGGATACTCAACATTTGTATCCGTTTTTTTGTTTCTTACAATTTTAGGCCCATTATTATTACTATAGGACACAATACTGACTATATATTAATAAATGTTGATTTTAAAATTTTAAGAGTAAACTTCACATTTTCAAATTATTTCACGTTTCTTATTTCACGTGAAAGTGTATTATTTATAGAGTTATTTAAAATCTAATTACATATGCTATTATGAAACATGTTATGTGAATACATTTATTTGTCAAGACGAATACAAATTCATAAATTTTTGTATATTTTTATAAATGTATATTTTTGGCTGGTTAAAAGAGCACATTACTCATTGTATGTAAACCGAGATATTAATTTAAAAATAAAAAAATAGGCTAATGGTGTCACAAGCTTTAAGTGTAATCGTTTATTAGAAGCGATAAGTGTAGTATGAACACACGGTATTTATCATTTTTATAATTAATTAAATTTAAATCACATTATTTATAATAAATACTGTAAAATATAACAATAATTTTAAGTATAGAAATTTTCTATTAAAAATAAAATTAGAATAGTCGTTCTATTGCCAAATTAAATTTAATAAAAAGTGATTTTATTTTAATTACACTATAGTTAAATTGTGGAGAGTAGTGGAATTTTTGATCTCACTATCTTTTTTTATCAACACACTCGTATGTGTATTTTACATCGCCATTGTGGTATTTTTACCATGTTTGTAGTTGTGAAACGACGAAACACCTCATATTATGTAATAAAACAAAAATTAATTCAAATTTCATTTATTATTCTTTGAAATAAAATTGTTTTCCAAGGTTATTGTCTTACTTACGGTTCTTGAACGTTAACCACGGTTCAAAATGAGAATATCTTGGATACAGCAAATACATGTACATTTGTAGAAAACAACTTTAAACATACAGAAAATAAATTGTCTAGCTAGAGTGATCAATAAGGTTGTATGTGGCAGTAAACACTTTTTATTATTGCAGTTGCTTATTTTGTTCACACAATTCATATATACAACTAAAAACCTAATAACAGAATGACCTTAAAGAAGACATGGCTCATTTTATGAGAAACGAATGAGCAAAATCTAACATATCCAATACAATTAGCAATATGGCTACTGTGTGCTGTATATTTGTAACAACGTGTAGTTGATTTCATAATAATTAATGTAATTAATACTGTACTGCGATTGCGAGCACTCGTTTTACGTTACTGCCGATCGTGCAAAGCATTGCTCTGTTGAAAAACGTTTTTATATATATCACGTAACATTTGAACAAAACGATAGATTCCAGGAAACCAAACATTCACATATCATTAAAATACCAGACAAATATTTACAGAGCGATTATTTTGTGCGTCGCGACTTGTCGTTGACAAAATATTGGACTTTTTATTTTCCTTTTGATAATAAAGTTAGCACAAGTTGTTACTTGCCATAATAAAAATGTGTACTTTTCGGCAAACCATTCTAAACAATTTAAATAATATTTTTCATTTTTTGATTGTTCAAATAACAGTTATTCCTAACCGTTTTCTACTTGTTGACATTGTGCACAATAATATTAAAAATAGTATTCATTGAAATTCAAATTAGTTCCTTATGAACTCCTCTCCCACGCAGTCTTCTAGTCGCTATGTCAAGCTCGACGGTTGGCTTTCAAAGCATGTAGGGCTCGTGAGCCAATAAACCCGTCCCTGTAATTATATAAAATATTTTTTAGGGTCGATCATATCTACCGCCAGCACACAGTCACTGACAATAATAATCCAGTTACCTCGTGTGTAGATTTTATAATAGAGGTTTGAAATCAATGTATTAGTTCCGAGGGGGCGGCGGCGGCGGTTGATTGAGCGGGGAACCACGGAGAATGAAAAAACAAAATAATAGTCTGTCTGAGTCATGGGCCGGTAGGTGGCGCTGTTGTCTGGCGCACGGTCGGTCCCATCACCTGGGCTACCGGGTCGCCACCGCCGGCACACGATCACGCAGTTCAGTAGATCGGCCGGTTCCCACCGTCACGTATATTCATGCAGACGTTCTCCTATTTAAACGTGAGCCGGTTAAAAAAAAAAAATTTAATACCGAAAAAAATATTTATAAATTAATTTTTTTTTTTTTATATAAACGTGTTGTCCGCTCTGTTAAGTTTTTCATTTTATTTTTATATAAATAACCGTTTGTGAGGAAAAAGTAGTCGTACTACTCGCATACTTACATCGAGCGCACGCGTGTGCAAAAGTCTTTGTTAAAAAATTTTCCTCGCTCGTTTGTTTGTTTGTTTTATTTTATTTTATAAGTGTTGTTATTATTTTATTTAATTACATTTACTTTACGCGTATCGCCCGACAAACGGCGGGATTTCAACTATATTATTATAGTGTGTTGTTTTTGTTTTTGTTAACACAGCAAACACTCTGTACGAGAGAGTACAGGACTATAGTGGTAAGTCCCTAGAAATATGCCTTTGTGTTTATTTAATGAGTGATTATCGTTTGACGGAAACATTAAAATCGTTCATTTCGCGTCGTTACTGAAACGACAGTGATGTAATCTGTACGTTACAAAAGCGGAATTTCCTCGTGTCTTTTTACCCGCGCTCGGTAGGCCCGTACTGCGTTTTATATTGTTATTATCATAGGGCATCGCATCCGTCGCAATAAAATGTGTAAATATAGCATCAACTAATGTGGAAAAATTTGTTTTTTGTGTTACAGAATGGAATTGAGAAGACCGAGTTGTTATAATTTGTTGAACAGTGTCAAAGGTAAGCTAATCATTTTATTGCCTATCATATTTTTAGTTGAATGTTATCGCTTCGATTAGAGTTGGATTACCATGTGAACACGTCTCTTTAAGTACACAACCCTTTAACGCTGTTGGTTATGTATTTTTTTCGAAACGGAATTTTTACATCGTGTGTTGTTGACCGGTCTGCTGCTGCAGCTTCGTGTTTGCATTCCTTACCCGGATTGTGCATTGTGTCCGTGTGTTTCCTTCAAAGGGATGTTTAATGTGGGACCCGTCTGTAGGTAAAACGACAACGGGATCAGCTGGTTCTTTGTACTCGGTTTACCTGCTCCCATGTCTTTAGCAAGACCACTATCGGGACCCTAGACGACGCTGTATTTCGCACAGTCGGTTCCTTCTGCGACTGTTTTATTCTCGTCATTATAGTAATTTATGTTGTATTTTTTTTGTTTTATGCTTACTGACCAATGCACACGTATGTAATCATTAGCTATTATCATTATCAGCGACACAATGAATTCATGTTGAGCCGATAACCGGCCGTTTGTCGTGTAATCATAATTTTTATAGTCGACTGTGTCGTCGATGTGAATAAAAAAATGTAAAACTACCGTGAATCTGCTGAATTTTTATAAAAGCGTTTCCACAAATTTACATGTTGTTTTTTTTTTTACAACGATCTAATCGTTTCTGTTGAACCGGTCATATATATTAAGTCATTTTGCGAATTGCTTTTATTATTTTTTCTGATATTCGCAAATCGATGATGCAACACTTGGATATTACGCCGAGTTTGGATTTCTAGAAATCGCAATAAGCAATATAAATCTGTGTCAACCTCGGAAGACAATCACGACGTGGCGTGGGGTTATCGTTCTCGTGTAGAGTACTCTGGAGTAACAATTTTTACTAATTATTACTGTAATAACGGGTAAGCACTATTTTTCAACATTTTCCAAAAATAAACAACGAACTTTCATCTCGTTGTCTAAGAGACTCGCAACGATTTGAAAAAAAAAGTATAGGCGCACTGTGTTACCACGTGATCGACTGTTTCGTTTCAATTGTGCGGGTCGTATGCGATTTGTCTTAAGACGGCCGCGTTCGACTCGTCTAGACCTGACTGTTAGGTACTTGCCTGCTAGGACCAGTCACATTTTATTTCCACTGCCCGTCGTCGTTGTCTTTGTCTGCCACCGTCCGGGTAGAGGGGCAAGTCTTTGTTTCGAACGGATGCCCCGTCGTCCCCTTCGCCCGTCCACTCGTTCTTCGTCCTACACCAATTATTGTTGTTGTTACGGTCGACCGGAGAGGCTCCGCCGTCGACGTCACGGTCCATCTCTGCCGAAGATATTACCTTTTGTCCTTCCAACAGGTCGACCACCCCATTTATTATATTACATATTATTGTATCCAATGCTTCGTCGTAATCGTTTAGTTACCGACTCCCACACACACGCGCGCATACGCACACAAGAACAAGTATTAGTAGTCGTGAGAAACTACCATTAATCTGCGTTATTTTTCGAAATGAATAAAAAAATGTCAAAATTAGTAGAAAAAAAATAGTGGGGGCGTACTCTTAATGAGCCTCCGTCGTCTGTGTTGCCTGCTAGAGGTTAGGGTCATAAGCAGCGTTTTTTTTTTCAAGGACGACTAGACTTTCTCTAGTTTTACATCCAAGTATTGAGTAATACGGCTGGGTGTTTTTTTTTTTTATGTAATCTTTTGATATTCTTTCAATCTTAACAATTGTAATTATTGTTCAAAAGCTTACACGTCTCACAGAGTATTTTTATTTTGTGATTTTTTCTATTACTTTGACGGGATAATGGCAATAAAACGAGTTTTGGTGCAAAATAACAGTTGAGTGTACTCGTACGTTTATTACCACGGTTCAAGGTGTCTCTGGTTTTATGCCTCTATGGTGTATGCATTTATATGATACGTATATAGAGCGACAATTACGAGCCGGGGCCACATGTGCGTGTGTCCGTTTCGTCGTGCTCTCGTGTGTGTATGTTTAAGAGTATTTTAAAAAGAACATTGATGGTTGGGGGGACTCATTGCCACGATTATAACATACAGAAGCGAGTTAATCCAAACACTACTGGTGTTCTCTTCGACTAAAAAACCAGCTGGTGCCAAACGTCGACAGTTACCGGGTGGGCATGGTAGTTCAAATATTTTTTTTTATTTTCCTCGTAGACTTATTTATAGATATGAACACTCTCGCTGGAGCACACGTAATGTCGTCGATCCCGATTCTCGAAAATTAGTTTAAAACGATAAAGGTGTCCTGTCTTAGATTAGGACGACTTAATTTTAACACAACCAATTCGAATGTTACCATACTGCGTGATTGATACGTATAAATAAGAACGGTTACGTCCGCGTGACATGTATATCGCCCAGTGGGCTAAAAACAAAAAAAAAAAGGATCATTTAAAACGAATGTTTTAATATTAAATAGTATTAATAATTTTTTATATCGCCAAGTGCGCGCGTCATCGCCGAGCACATGTTTTCAACGTTGTCGTTTTTGTTCGTCTCGTCTCGGTTTTATTGATCCCCCGGTGTATTATAATGCGATGCCGTGTGCGTGCATGTTGTGGTGTATTTTATATTATGATAATTCAACTTAAATGTATATTTATATAGGTATTTACTTCTAATTTAATTTACGCAGCGGTTTGTCTGCAACGGACCAAGCGGTTCCTAAAACTGTCGTCCTCGATCAGGGGTCCCCAAAAATATTTGTGTTCAGTACGCGCGAAAGGATTCTGTCTTAGCGTTTGGCCAATGACATATTTCAATATGGTAATTAACTACTGGTTAACAGTATACAATAGTTTGCCAATAATGACATCACCGCGCATTTAACATTATATGTTTTCGTGCTCGTGAAAAGATCCATTTTCGCGTATGACTCACCGTCTTAATTTTAATTTATACATTTATTGTTTTACTTGATACTTTCGTCAACTATTATACAAACAATACATGTTCACCTCATACGGTATAGTTGTTTTAAATCCCAGAGAACGGTAGCTGGGAGAACAGTTGTGAATAATAGAACGGTTGATTACGGTGGTCGTATAACACAATTAAAACGCTATTGTGCACCTCTTAAAAGGTCATAGTTTCAGATTAAAACGTTTTAAGTGACTACAGTGTGCAAGTTCAGACTAGAACTCTACACGGTTTCGTTTTTCCTATTCCGCGCAAACTGTCCTCAAATCGATTTTCTTCAACTAGTTCTCGCTGCGAGATTCGTAGCAATACTAAACCGTGTAATATTATGTGCAGTGCGTATCACAACGAGCCGTCGCCACAAGTAAACACACCACATGTCCGTCGAGGGACCACTTTTATTTTTATCCGGCTGTTAACCGCCGTCAAAACCAGTATTACTTGTAAAAGAATATTATTTAAGAAAATTCAGAACACATTTCGATAGTTCGACTGTTTTTGATTTTTTTTTCTCGTTCTATTTCAATGCTCGTCGTCAGTTACTTATTTAATTTACTATTATTGTTAAATGAGTTGCAGCACCCACGCCCTAACTATGTTATAATCTAACGCATAATAACAATATTGTAATTTATTGTACTCGACACTACTTCTACAACAGTGTTCGCGTGTGCAACAGTTGCGTCACGATTTCTGTGCATTAAGTTCGTTTGTGCATCGTGTTTGTGTGTATAGTAATAATATTGTTATTACCGGTGTGGTTATGCCTTGTGCGCTATACCTAGCCAGGTGCTTTTATTTCATGGGTTGCCCAAACATTCTTCTCTCGACATCTTGTACGTTACAGAATTATGTTTCATGATGTGTTTTAATTGAAAATTTATTAATTGACGACAAAGACTAGACACAATTATTTTCTATTATTAACAAAATTGTTTTACCAGTCGATTACAATATGGTGTCATTTTTAACCTAAAAACATGACGTTTATATCGAACAAAGGACAACGAACATTGCGTCATAACTTCAACCGAGTGGTGACCCCATTTTGACGGGTATACGTGTACTAATAATAATTTTTTCCTATGAGATCACAACAGCCATTGGTTGAATCGAAACAGAATTACTTTATATTAATATTATCGGAGTGGGCACGTGTCCACACGGAAACACGTCTCTCAGCTAATTAATACGTCAACGTCGCTTGTGACCGATGTGAATTTATCGTCGTCGCCATCGATCACCTTCATGTATGCATTGAATACATTATGAGCTATTTTTTTCTCTTTCGGTTGTGTTTGGTATACGCGTTTGCAATGTTTATTGTTAATATCAGCACAATCGGTTTGTATAAACTCTTGAATAATTGAATTGCTTTTCCCAAATTAAAAAACATCTAAGCCTATGTTGTAACTTCCTAAGAACATTTTTTTTTTTTTTTAGCTTATTAAATATTGTGAGTTTCGCTTTATATTATTTACACTCCAATAATAATTTGTTTATAGACTTTAACTTTTTTTTTTGCATACAATCGATTTCTTAAAACTTTTAATAGCTCATAAAATTTTACATTCCTGTCGCAACACAACGTTTTTGAAATACCAAATTTTCAACGAACGTTCAAATAAATTGATCAATGTAAAAAATTAGTTCTGTCGAAATAATATGATTGTGTACTTTTTAGAATTTATCGTTTCATGTAAGGTATGTCGATTTGATAGTACTAAACTAATATTATGTTTTTTAATTCAGAAAAATTTCATCATATTGGCATATAAATTTCATGCCTAGAAAAAGTCTTATCGGATATTATAAACGATGCCCGTGATGCCGTGAAGGTTTATCGTTACTTTTATGTTTTTAATCATTTTGGTAGAAAGAAAAAGTTGTATAAGCCAATCGAGCAGTTTTCCGGCCGTAGACCTTGCGCTTCGCGTGACTAATAAGCGATTTCCCACCAGTTGCCGCCCGGTCGATCGCCGTGCCGCCACCGGCTCCTATGACCTTCACGGTTTATTGCCATAACCTACCCGTTTACCTCTTCTGCTTTATTTTGTTCACCCTGAAATATTCGACAATTTTTATACTTGGGCTGTGAAACGCACATTTTGAGAACCCTGCCCGTATAATGGGCTATCAAATAATGAACAACACAATAACGGTTTGGCACGCCCTTGTCGTCACACGTAATACCCGTTGGGTTTGACAACACATCGGCTATGAGTGTGTAGTGTGTGTACCTATATTATGTGCTTTAACTAAGTAGAAAGTAGTCGACGATTTGGGCGGCGGCGAAGTGGCGCCCTATACGACCACCGTGTTCAATTTACACACTTCATGTCATTGGGTAATGTGCTCGTGTTGTATATATTTATGCTGTACGTCGCGAAGGAAGCTAGTGGTCAACTAAATGTCGAGCAAACCCTTATTTTGTGTAAACATGTCNTGTCGCCTTAGGGTGAGACTTAAAACAATTGCGAAGCAGATTTAATATTTTAAAAATAACATTATCCACTATACACTTCTTCTCAGCTCTTTTTTTTTTTTTTTTTTTTCATGAATTATAGTTTCTGTATAAGATAAACATACTCGGATTGATAGTTTTTTTTCTTAACGAAAATCTTTGAATAATTTCTCAGTCTGGATTCTGCATTTACAATAGAGCCTTAATGTATTTTTGTTTGTTCATTTTTTCCACCATTTTCAAAAGACCTTGACACAAACATAGTGTGCAAACTCAATAGTACCATTTTCTCTGTTCGACTTCTTGTAATGTGTATGTAATATACGCAAAAAAATATACGTCTGCTATTTCGCTTTTGCTATCGACCTAGTAACCCACTTCGGAGATGATAATTAAAAATAATAATAATTATTATTATCGTGTTAGAAGTAGCGTTTTAGGCGTTATTGTTTATGATTTTTCGGTGTACTGTTTTTTCTTTCATAAGACTAAATAAGGATGTAGATAGTGTGTGTTTGATACGCGCGTTTGGTTTACCACTAGGTCGTCGTTGTCGTCAACGATGACTGCATTGTGTAATAAGAGTTATACGTAGAAAATATTATATTATCGACATTATCACTGAATACCCTCGAAATCAGTGTTCGGACCCCTTTGTGGCCATGACATAACATGTCTGTTGATTAAAAGGGTGCTATTAACTGTTTCATTACAAAAAGTTGTTTTGTTCAAGCGACCTAAATTTATTTAAAAAATTTCCGTTCAACTCGGTGACGCCCTGTGTAATTTTTTCCCTTTAATTCAACTTTACCTTTCACCAAACACCTTGTGTGCAATAGGAGAATGAAAGACATAGAATAGCAGGTGACTGAAGCCGCCAGGTGTTGTTAGGACAATAGCTAAGCAGTGAACGATTAGGTTTGTTTGGTGATTTTGGCGCCGAATTTCTCCATAGCTACAATTGCAGTACAATAGCCAAATGTGTATAGATAAGAATTAAAAATGCTCTGGGTAATCTTAAATAATTTCATTTCAGTGTTTTATAGACCTTTAAATAGGGAAATTTTATTAAAGGGCGTGGATTGAGCTGTTCAACAGTTATTATGCAAGTGACCCGTATACCAACTGCTTATGGCTGTACTTGCATATAGTTTAACGTGTTACTCGTGGTACTAAAATTATTTTCTTTCTTAAATATGTAATAATAAATTAATAATTAATATAGTCAAACAAACAACAACAGTTATACACTTCATTTTGATTACTATACACTGTGTCAATGGTGATGTCAGTTTTTTTTATCAACCACTTTCGTTTCATGACTATCCTAAAAATATCATCTGGAATTATTCATTATTTTGCATTATAATTACCAGTTTATTTTTATTTTATATAATAAAAAGGCAGTAATCTTTTATAGGGAGTATTTTCTAAATAAGGGGGACGCTGAAATATGACCTACCGCAACAAACCAAGGTTAAAGTCCCCCGGTGGTAATATCCTAACGATTGGCTAAACTGAGTCAGATTATATCATCAAACAGTGGTATCTGTAATTTTTTAATTAATTAAATTTCTTGAAGCAATTCTTGAATCGTTTTTTTTTTTTCGTGCATTGAATGTCATGTATGCACAAAATCTTGTACAAGTATGTACTTTTAACCTAGAATAAATTATAGTATTTGAGTCATTAAATAATTTAATAATAATAACTTATAAATGACAATTATAGTAATCGAGAGAATACGGGTAATTTCCGAAGATGTATTGAATGATAATTAAAATTATTATTGTTTTTTATTATGATAAAAAGTATACAGCAATTGTTGAAAATTCTTTAGTTTGATTAATTTACACCGTTGTACTCTTAATATTATTAATGTTACTTAATCCCTTGGAGTATTCGAAAATTTATTGATCCAATTGTCTCCACCCCTTATAGTTTACATTTATATTTTGGGGTAAAAGTGATTTTTTTTTTACTGGAAAGTTCTGATGGCGGTCGTCGACCCTTGCAGTTGTGTCCGCGCGACGGGCGTCCCGGCTCAAGGTCCTCCCCTTCCTTTCCCTCAAACTATGTGAATCAATATACTACTGCCGCTCCGTCATATTCATTTCTCCCTGTTGCTGCTTATGCCACCACATACACCACTCTTGACATACCCTTTTTGTCGCCTTAGGGTGAGACTTAAAACAATTGCGAAGCAGATTTAATATTTTAAAAATAACATTATCCACTATACACTTCTTCTCAGCTTTATAACATACTAACGTTTTGTTCTTAGTGAATTTTTTAGAAACCATCTGGTCAGACTACAATAAAAAAAAAATAGTAGTAAAAAATATATAAAAAAAATTTAACGATACAGTGGTGTAAAGTTATGGTAAAATAATGAGCAACTGGGATTTATGCGACCTTTCAATGACCGAACAAAGATGAATGTCTAGACGAGTTAACCAAGGTCGTCTGTAATCGTTTTGTATGTTATGTAGTTAAGTAACCTGCTAGAGACCACCCGAGACAAATTTTTAGTTTTACTTAGAAGCTAACATGATTAAGAGCTTCTATATAGTCAGTTGCCGGGAGTCCTTTTGTTACTCATCGGCCAGCTCGTCGCGTATAAATGCAATAACAACAATAACACAGGAGCAACTAGTTGCCGTGGAAACGCCGATCGACCCTGCCGCATTTACTGTAATCACGTATACACACGATATGTTTTCCTCGTCGCACTCCTCCATGCCTTTACAACGGGTAGTGTTATACACTGTTAACGTAAAACAATTCACCCTCTCCTAAAGCGCCACAGGCTTTTAAAAGTCGTTGCACATTATTATCACTGCATTCGAATCACCGTTTGCATGAGTACTAGCTAAAAGATCAACGGAAATCAAGTGACGGATTCTACACGTTTAGTTCATAAAACCCGATAGGATGTCATACACACATTGTTCGAAGGGTAGTAAAAAGGAATGGTCGCTGAGAATAGGGAACGTTTTAATAGATGGCCCCCCGTCGACTCGTTTTTTCTCACAAGGAAGAATATAATAATACTTGGCGGTCTTATTACCCTACAAATTGTTCAGTTCTCATAACCGAGATGCTATTGCCTATGTATTTTAGAGTTGTGAAATAAAACCCCATGTCAGTCATGTGTGTGTCCGAAAAATTATGTTAATCCTTGTTCAACGTTAATCGACGTATTAACAAAGCATTTTTTATCATCATCATAATATTTCTACTCGGGTAGTAACAGTGGCGACCTGGTTGTTTTGCCACATCCCCTCGGATAAACGTGTTCGCACCAATTTCATTGTTATTGAAAAATAACGGCAAAACTAACATTATAGGCCACCGTCGTCGAGTGTAGTGTTAAGGCTTACTTATTGTGTAGGGGGTGTTAAAGGGGAAACCATGTATCATTTCAAGTGCTTTGTTTTCATCAAGTTCAGACAACTTAAAACAATGACTTGCCATGATGACTGATGGACGACTAGCATTGTTGCTCTTGCTTTAACGATGTAACGTAAGTTTAACGAGCAAAAACTGTTTATAGTTCGTTGACCCTTAGCGCGCTTTAGTTCCGAACGACAGACAAAGCGCTTGCGCTTTATGCTTGAATATAGGGGAAGCCGGCGAGTAGGTGTGCGCAGGTGAGTGGTGATGTTTTCTACAAGCGAAGCTGCGTCGCTGGTTACCATGGTAATATTGCAATAGTAGTGGTGACTACACGCGGCAAAGGTATTTTTTCACATTATGTTTGCGATTACAATAATGTATGCCATCAATCAACCTGAATTCTTCAATTCAAATATTATATCACATTATCAATTATTAATCGATTTAATTATTTAATGATGTACTAACTATATTTTTTGTTATTATTTTTTTTTAGATTTAACCCTGTTGGTTTAAATGATGGCTTCTCCAACGCCGTCTCTTGATTCTCTATCCGGATTCAACACTTTCGGGCCGGACTATAATAGGTCATTGTCGTCTAGCCACTCGCCCACTGATTCAGACAGTAGCGGTTCAGGCGTTTCGACAGGCGGAAGCGGAACCAGCACGAGCAATACCGGCACAAGGAAGTGCCAACTGTGCCATGAGATATTCTCTAACCCGCGAGTACTGCCTTGTTTACACACTTTCTGTCACTCTTGTCTAGAAAACAACCAAGATCAACCTGAAAAGATCACGTGCCCTAACTGTCATCAGGAGTGTATCCTAACGAACCGCGGCATTAGCGGACTATTGCCCGACTTCACCGTCAACGGCGGCTCAATTGAAGTCAACCCTGACAAGTTTGCGGGCGTGTGCAAAGGCTGCAAGAATCTCAACACCAACGTAGTAGCTTATTGTTACGATTGTCAGCAAACGCTGTGTGCCAACTGCATGATGGCTCACCAGTTTATGAACTGCTTTGAAGACCACCGGCTACACGGACTCACATTTGACAACGGCAGCGAAAACGATAATAACAAAAATAACGCCTACATTCCGACCACGGTTGGTGACCGCGTCGTTTTTTGTTCAAGACACAAGAACGAGTCTCTTAAGTATTTCTGCCGTACTTGTAACGTGCCCGTTTGCAAAGAATGTACACTCAGTGATCATCAGTTCAGTATGCACGATGTCGAGCACTTGAGTGACATTGGTGTCAAGCTCTTGGACATACTTAATGGTACAGTCCAAGAAAGCAAGTCGAAGGCAACTGACATACGCAACATGGTGAAAAATATTGAGCACACTTCTAACAAACTGCAAGTACAGTACCATAAAGCGCAAAACGAGATCAATGAGACTTTCGCATTTTACCGGTCTATGTTAGAAGAACGCAAACAAGAATTGCTTAAAGAAGTTGAGAGCGTATACAGTGCAAAACAGCTAACGTTGACCGAGGCCTCGCAGAAAGGCCTGGAGGTTGTTGACAAAATTTATCAGACCGGTGAGTTCGTAGACCGGCTTACTAAAAATGCTAACGTAGTTGAATGTCTTTTATTCAAGAAGTTACTCGATTCTAAACTTCAATCATTGATGAGTTACGAACCAGATACTAGTGTACAGAACATTTGTGATTTGGAATTTGTATCAAATTATCAGGCTATTCAAGTAGGCGTTCGCAATACATTTGGTTATGTTCGTTCAAGCACCGAACTGGGTGTCATTGGTCCCGGCAAGCAGCCTCCAATCGCCAGACCCACCAACGGGTCTTTAATGAACGGCAATTCTACTATGACCAACGGTGGAAGTTGCTTGAACGGGTCCTCGGACATAATGCACAACGGTGTCATTGAGCGCCCCTACTCGAATGGTCTGACTTCTACCAGTCCACTGTCAAGTCAGTATGAAACTAATATTTTGTCAAAGCGTTTCAACAGCGTCAATAGTCTAGGTCCATTCTCGACTAGTTCAATCGGCGATCTCAATTTGAATGCCATCGGTAATGGACTGAACGGCATGAATGGTTCCAATAATGGTAGTGGAGTTAACGGAGGTAGTATGAACAGTATCAACCCATACGAAAAGTGGTCCAATGGTGGCAGTGGTGACATTTTCCAAAATGGCGGCAGCAATGGAAACGCTGACTTTCCCTTGACAATCGATAACAACGACAGTATCTTAGACTTGTCTAGTAAACTTTTCACGGCTTCTATATTTCCGCCAAAATCTCAAATAAAAAGACACAAGATGATCTACCACTGCAAGTTTGGTGAATTTGGCGCAATGGAGGGTCAATTCACTGAACCAAGCGGCGTTGCTGTAAATGCGCAAAATGATATAATTGTCGCCGATACCAACAATCACCGAATTCAAATATTCGACAAAGAAGGTCGATTCAAGTTTCAATTCGGTGAGTGTGGCAAACGAGATGGACAGCTTCTTTATCCAAACCGCGTGGCTGTGGTGAAACCATCGGGTGATATCATTGTTACCGAACGTTCTCCCACACACCAAATACAGATCTACAACCAGTATGGACAATTTGTGCGCAAGTTTGGCGCTAACATACTACAGCACCCTCGCGGAATTACTGTTGACAATAAGGGCCGCATCGTGGTAGTTGAATGTAAGGTGATGCGTGTCATCATATTCGACCAAGCTGGCAACGTCCTAGTCAAGTTTGGCTGTTCGAAACACTTGGAGTTCCCTAACGGCGTAGTGGTTAATGACAAACAAGAAATATTTATTTCGGACAATCGGGCGCACTGCGTCAAAGTGTTCAACTACGAAGGCCAATATTTGAGGCAGATCGGTAGCCAAGGCATAACAAACTATCCAATTGGTGTCGGTATCAACGCATCTGGCGAAATTCTCATTGCTGATAACCACAATAATTTCAATCTGACCATATTCACGCAGGAAGGCCAGTTGGTGTCTGCTCTAGAGTCCAAAGTCAAACATGCTCAATGCTTCGACGTAGCCCTGATGGACGATGGATCCGTTGTGTTGGCTAGCAAGGACTATCGCCTTTACATCTACCGTTACATTCAGATACCTCCGATGTTAATGTAGATCTCATAATTAAGCATTCCTAAAACTAAAAAATGAATCAAGTCGCCATCAAAAAAATCTGTTATTATTATTATTAAGATTAATTATTATTTTTATTACAAAACAAGTTGTTCGCTCTCTTATATTGTGTCGTCACTGCTCATCACATATTATTTTGTTATGCAAAAAAAGAAAAAGAAAACAAAAAAAAGGCAGCAGGTTCTTCCTGCTTATTATAAATTATCTATCATTATGTCCTGAGCGTTTTATGCTCATCAGGAGTACAGTTACGTAATTATGTTTTTATTAATTGAGTAAATTATTATTGTTTATTTTAGCAAATTCACAGTGTAAACCTGTTACATTTTCGAGTACTTAAAAAGTAATCCACTATAATATAATTGGAAAATTTACCAGAAAAAAAAAAAAAAAAAAATACCAATCCATCAATTTTTTTTATTTTTAATTTTTATTTACCACTAACTTATAACGTTTTTAATATTTAACTTCGCGGGGTTTTTATTCTTTGGATGTTTTATTAATACATATTTTATTGTAACCAGGTTAGATTGAAATTCTGAGACTTGTAATTTGTAACTTAAGGACTGTTATTTTGTATTATTATTATGTGAATTAATTATTATTAAACATAACTTTTAAAAATTAGTAGAAAAGAAATAGTTAGGCTAGCGAGTGTCTTTATCCTTTTAAGTGCGCGAAACTTACTTATTATTATTATTTTTTTGTTATTATTTTTGTATACATTAAAATGTACTGAAATCCCAGAATAGTTTTTCTTACCAATATTATATTCATTTTAAACTAAATTAATTTTTAATTTTGTTTAATTGTTTTTATTTTAATATTTTTTGTTATTACATCAAAGTATCTGCTCTGATTTGTTGAAGCGTTCCTTTCTATAGGACTTTGCTAGTCAAATTTCGGATTCCGAGTCTCCTATTTTTTTTCGCCACTCATCAATGTACGGATGCTCGCACCATATTTTTTTAAACCTGTATTATTTAAAAAGAAAAAATTAAAACTACCTACCTAAAATTTATTTTGTAAGTTGTTTTCCTTTAATTTTTTCGTTCATTTCTGTATTGAAACTAGAAACATATTTAGTACATGTACAGGTTTACAATTTTTTTTTTTGTCCTAATTATTATACATTATTACTATATAATTACTTATATTAGAAATTATATTAATTACTAAATCAATTTTTGTGTAAGTGTGTAACTCTCATGTTTTGCGTTGTTATTTTATATTAATAATCAAGCGTTGAAATCTTAATTATATAAAATGTACAAAGAATAAGTACTAAAACAACAAAAGTTTAATAATATTTTTAATTTTTATTTGGGAGTAATAATTGTTATAGTGGGATTGCTCACTAGTTTTTGTTTTTCTTTGTCTAAGTAGTTATTGGATATTATTATTGTTGAGTTTAATTTTAGTTAATTTTCTCCTTTTTATATTAAAAAAAATTGTGCGGTATTCCATTCTTAGACTTTTTATTCTTAATCAATTTTTTTGTACTTTCGTATTCTTATAGTTAAGGATAAATAGTGTCTTCACAGTATTTAATTTTTTCGTTTCCTTCTTATTATTATTATTATTATTTTTTTTTTTTTAATGCACCTTGATATTAAATTAATATGATAAATATTATGTAGCTTTAATGTAGTGTTTGTGTTTGTGTTTTACGCGTTTTATTATTATTTTTTATTATTATTATTATTATTATTATTTTTGCATTTTTAATTGATATTTTCGATTTTATTATTATTTATTATTGACGATTCTAATGATATTAATTAATATGAGGCATTTAGTTAGCAAATTGCTTTGTAAACTTGCGCTTGTCTCTCATTATTTTCTTTTTAAGTTTACTCATTTAGTTGCTAAATGAAAAATCAATCATGTTATACACTATTTGAAACAAAATTATTAAAATGTAATAATATATATATATATTATTTTTGTTGTAAAAAATATCAAACAGCAATCTTTTGATGATAATTTGAACAATATTACATTCTATCTGCGATGAATATTATTATTGACTCCTATTTTTTTTTCTTTGTAAGGCAATGCGCATTTTTGTTTTATTTATTTCTTATTATTTATTTTTTTTGTTTAAAGATAATTAAAACTTGTTATACATTTTTTTAAATATAATTTTTATAATACATGATAATTAATTTCGAAAAGAAAATATCCAATTTTTTTATTTTATGATTTTATCAATAATCACTAACAATTATGATATAAGTTCTTCCATTTATCCTACTAATTTTTGTACTATTACTTCCTTTTGTACGTTCCAATTTTCATTTTAATAATTAGAAGTTATACATTAAGTAAAATAAAGGAATAATTTATTCTAGTCATTAGCCGAGTGAATTTTGAGTGTTTTATTATTTATTTTAGTTTGATTACGTTTATTTATGAATATATTTAGTTAGCATTATTAATTTTTTGACACTTATTACGGAGGTTATATTAGGGTAACTAAGTTTTGATTTTATTACATTTATTCATATGTTTTATTTAATAGTCGTAATAAGGCGTTGTAATAATAACTGTGCTTATTTTATCGATATTGATTTATTATTAGTTATTAATAGGCACTAAAATATTATACTTAAAGTAGCTTGTAGTAAGGTTAGCGTCTACCCCGACCATATTAGTACTCGTAACACACTAGTTTCACGTTTCCTATATTTGTATATGTTTGGTCATTATCGTCATTGGTACAAAACCACGATAGCGACAAGAGAATGACTTATATTGTGTATGTTTACTCAGTAGTTATAACTGTTTTCTATTTATTTAGTAATTACTTTATTTTTTTCTTTAAATTTACTGTAAACACTTCGTATCGTATGATAACAAACGCACTATTAATAATACAAAATGTGCCAACATAAACTACACATTAAACTTTTAATATAAAAAACATGACAATTTGGGAATTGGTGGTATCTATTACCTCTCAAACACGTAGTTTTTTTTTTTCTTTCGATCAGGGTACGCAATTCCACAGTGTTAAGTTTTGTGTTTAAATGTAAACTATCGTCAAATATTTATTGATTATTATCATTATTTATATTTTTCTATTGTCATTGCTGTAATATAGTTGTCATTAGCTAGTCACGCATACACATCCGTCGAGTATCAAAATTTTTTAATACTTTGAGCTACCTCCAAAAAAATATTGTTATTCTTCGTTGTTCTAACACAATCTCTGCCTTTTTCGCAGTTGATGACATTTATACTAGTGTAGCAATAATCCTCGGCCAGACAGACACTCATAATAATATTTTTTGTATTATCAGACAGTTAACGTTTTACCTTTTTATGAAAGAAACTATTTTTTATACTAATAATTTTCCCTTGATCGTATCATCGGAAATTATTTTACCGTTTATGTCAATTATACATGTCGCTAATTTGGTAGAAGTTCCCTTACACTGTTTTTCTGGTGGAATACCACTTAGCTAAGGGTTAAGGCTATGATTGTGCAGATAATTGTGTATCACAGTGGAAAAGTCTTTTTTAGGAATTTATCATAGAGACAATACAATCGTTCTTTATCAGGGCATCTAAATTTACACTATTATTAATAATGATAAGTAATAATAAATAGAAAACTTATTTTTCGTACTTGACTTCTTCGTGGCCGAGATAAATAAATTTTATGATAATCAAACGAAATAAATCTGTGGCAACAACGAAAAGCACCAAAAGTTGTTTTTATTTTCTTTAGAAGTATGAGGTCTTCCCCGTCGGTCTTGGGGTGCTCTATTTGTTTAGGCTTTTATAGGAGTACTACCACAGGGTCCCTCGGAGTAGTTTTTCTAAACATTGGGTACTAACTTTAAAAAATAATTCTAACTATTTCACACAAAATATAAATTACTTGAACTAATTTTTGCATTGCATATTTTTTGTGTCAATTCAAATCGTACAATTTGAATAACATTTATTTTTCGTTACTTTTACATTATTACTATTATTCTATTACATTTTATATATTATATATTATTATTATTACGTTATATATTTTAATATTAATTGTAAGTACTAACTTACAATGTATTTATATATTATGTACTTGATTGTCAGGAAAGTTAAACACACAATAATAATTATAAGGTCGGTCGTGGGACATGTCAATTTTACATGTAAGTTATGATGTTGAACGGGTTGTAAAATGTAATTTTCGCTCACAACTTTTATTTTTACATAAAACATTTGGTTCAACTATTATTTCAATCCACTTGTTAAAATTACAATAAAGCAAAAGTATTTTACGGGTCGGCGAAATTAAAAAAAAAATAGTCAACAGACTGTTGTGAAAGTTACAAACATTTTATGTAGTATCCAAATTATTTAATGTAAATATTTTTATACATTTTATATAAAATTATAATTATAAATTCGATAAAAAAAACAATACTGATTAGAACTATCCTTATAACTATTTTTATTATGTGTATTATCATTGATGGAATATATTATGTTTACGTAGGTCGGTAGGGAATTTTAGTTCATAATTATTGTAGTACTAATAATAAAGTGTTTTTGCATAGAATGTGGTTATAACTACTTAACTATTTTACATGATGTTTTTTGAACTTTTAATTTAACTTTTATATATTATTATATACTTGTATAGTGGCAAAGTAATTAAAAACAATCTGTTTTTTTTATAATTTACTATCCACAATTACGTTTATGATATTACTATTATAATTATTATTATTATTATTACCAACGTAGTATAAAATGCGTTAACACTACACTGTACTATGTCTATACGCATAACATTTTCTATTCTAAGTAACTAAGTAATATGATTGTTGTATTTACTGCAGTGTGTAAAAAGTAGAAAAATTATTGTTCAATATGAAAAAAAATTTGCGGCGTAACACAATACTAAATTTAACGATAAGTTAAACGATTAAAAATATGTTTATAATTGTAATACTTTTTAGTTATCTAGACAATAGTTTTTTTTAAACGCTTTGATATAATGCTAATATGTAAAATATCATTTACTTCTACATATCTCGGTTACACCAGTGTGTTAGTAGATTTTTTTTGTCAAAAAATTATATTTATGTATTGCTTTCTGTGTAAGACATTGATTGTCCAAATATTAATAATCAAATACAGCGTAAATATTAACATTATTATTGTAACAATACAACTTGTAATTTATGTTAGAGCGTTTTATACTTAAACAATATTTATATCACTATTAAAGAGAAAAAAAATGTGTTGTTCGCGTAGACTTAACAAACAGATAATAACTAACGACGTTCACGTGTCATAATTAATTATTTAGGTGCCTCACAATACTGTTTTTTATTAATATGTAAGCGTTATTTTTGTTAGGACAATCGTCATTTTTTGTATCCTTCAAACAGCTTTTTCTTGTTCGCGTGGAAGTCTAATTGAGTGTTGTTCAGGAAAACTGATAAATTTAATAATGTATGATATATTTTAAACAAACAATAAAACTAAAAAAAGGCCAGTTAATGCACAAAAATAATTTGTTAAGTCATTACATAATTTGTTATTATTATTATTATTATTATTATTATTATGACTATTATGTTATAATGTTAATGATAAATAACACAAAGTAATGCTAAAAAGTTACATCAAAACAAACGCACTTGTAGACATTATCGTAGCGCCAAGAAGAATAAAATTAAGAATTTTTTAAATGTTAAAAAAAAAGTACTTGAACAAAGACTGATGATGTTGTTTTGGCAAAAGTCTATTTTTTCATTAAAACTATTTGAGAATTGTATAAAAGGAGTTAAATAATCGGTATTTGCTTATATTAGTGCTCAGATAATATTTGATCATTTTTGTTGTTGTTGATTAAAAGAAATAAGTTATTGCTAAAAATCGTGTTTTACTAAATGTATAATTATAATTAATAATAAAATGGGGTTGAATTGCTAATTTAAGGACCAACTGTTTTCTTGAAACTTATTTTTACTTCTCTGTATTGTAATAGGAAAACCATATCTATTGTGTTATAATCATGTAATTACCTATTGCTTTACTGTATAACTTGATAATGTTTCAATGTATTTTTTAATGTAAAAACATCTTGAAGTAATTATAAAATTGTCAATATCTTCATGTTTCGATAGGTTATGGTAATCTTGACCTTATCATTCCAACGAAAAAAAAAATTGTTTAATTAAAATATTATTAATTATTTATTATGTTGTGTGATTAGTCTTTATAGTTCGTGTAATAATACATTAATTATAAGCGACTTTTTATCAATATTTTTCGTTTGTATGCATGTATCTAATTTTTAAACAGAGAATTGTGTTGAAAATAAAATGTATTGAAAAAAAAACAAAAAACATTTTTGTGCTTTATTAATAAAATATTTCCCTTTAATCTTTTTTAGTAAACATTTTACTTGTATATTACTGTTTCACTAACATAAAAAAAAAAGAAAAAATCGCTTTAAAAATGAATAAATTAGAAGAGTTATTAAAGTAGTGTCTCTAATGAGTGGTGGTAGCTGTAAAAAAAAAATATTATAAAAACTGATACGATTTGTGACTTTCCAAAAGTTCACTTAAAATATCAATTGATTCAGATATTTAATGAAAAACTATTTAAATGTATTGAAAATAATGTTTTAGATTATTTATGTATTAGCTATTAATATACACGAGCCTTACAAATTTGAAGATTCCATTAGTGCACATGTTTTCCAAAAAATTTGATGGAACAGTAGGAAATAATAATAACATTACACGTCTACATGATTAGAGTTATATTTAAGATTTGATTACATTAGGGTACATAATTTTTTCACCGAAAAATGTTGTTTTCTGAGATTGTAATTAATTGGAAAACATTTTGTTAAAAAAAATGTAAAATTCGGTACTCTTCTAAACAATGGCCCTTTTTTACTCCCCCCCCAAGAGAAGCGGTTATATAGATTGGGAAAGAGGTGAGGAAATAGTTGGATCGACACCTTGGTAGAAGTCTTTTTTAATACTCATAATATCAGTAAGGTTATTTCAGTTTTGAAAGATAAAAAACAAATATAATTTCCAACAAATTCAAAAAAAAAATTTCGTTACACTCGTCATTTCAATACTATGGACTATTAATATAGACAACTTTATATATACAGAGCTATCCAAATTTTAATACACTCATTTTTTCAGGAACTACTAAGAATTTTAAATTTTGGTTAAGGAAAAAAATATAAAGTTCAAAAAATTACAATTATCCTCAGCTAGATAATTTTTTTTATCTCCTAAGAGTAAAAATTCCTAATTATAATCTTCTTAAATAAGAATCTCAATTAGCTTCGATGCAAAGCTTAGAAGGTACTGGTTTTGTAATGTGCGTTTTTCTTTATATCTGTCATAAAAATAATCAGCTCTCACTGAATAGATTTTTATAATCAATATGTCGAAAGAACTCAAATACAATCTAGTTAAGCATATTGTCGCCAAATTTGAAAAACCACTGAGTTTCAGAATTTTAAAAATACGCTATTGAAAAAAAAAATTCTGTATTTTGAAATTGCTATAATATTTTTAAAAAAACATTGATATTAATAAAATTTTAATAGAATATAAATGACAAAGAGTTTTCTTTTGATATACATTTGTAAAATTTAAAAGAAAAACCCAACCCAACCCAACCTAGAAGAGAGCTTGAAAGTGACCATTTACGCATGTAAAGAAAAAATTGTTCAATTTTTGAAAATACTCTGCAACAACGGCGTCTTTTAAACCTATATTAAATTGAAGCTTTTGAAATTAACTACCTCATATATCAAATACCTTCTCAACTTCGTATCGAAACTAAAAAAATATATTTATCTTTCAAATAAGCAAGAAATTTAATAAGAAATTAATATTTATGTGAAATTTAAAATTAATTTATAACAAATTCGCATTGAACCTTTCCTATGATAGTGAATATGATTTTAATCACTGTCATATATTATCTATACTTGTTCCAACTATGCCACGTCTTCACTGTGCTAAGTTTTTTTAACTTGATAATACGATAGCAAAAAAATATATATATTAATAATTTTGTTCTTATAAATGTTTTTATCTATAATAAAAAATAATTATTTTAATATGTTCATTCTGCTGCAAATTTTAAGAACGTAATTCTACGCGATTGTTAAAAATGTACATTCCCACACCAAACATTCATTAAAGTTATTAGTGATCGCTATATTTAATAGAAATTGTGGACAATTAATTATTAAGATAATATTTAGTCGGCTAATTTTTATAAATATTTGGTAAAATTCACTCCACCTCCTAAAAATTATGTCTAGTATCATTCCTATTATTCAAATATATAATCTAATTGTAAAAAAATTGGTTATTTATAGAATGCAATATCATTTTTTGAACGAGTTTTCCCTTGAGTCTCCATAGTGCGTTTTAAAAATGAAATTAATTTTTTTAAACATTTAATAGTTAACGAAATTGAAAAAAAAATAATATGCATTGTACACGTGATTTCTTTTTCAAAATTATAGTGTATTTATTTTATCAAATGGGCAATATATTCAATTTTGTAATACCTGTGAAGTGAGGAGACATAACTTAAGGATCATTTATATTTAAATGAAATTTGAAGTACAAGATTTTTTTTGAAACTAGCTCTGCAACACAAATTACTTTCTTGAAAAGAAAACACTTATTTATTAGTTATACCTAACGCGATCTAATGGGTAATATTGAAACTTTTAAATTTCGGTTGAATAGCAAAAAAATATGTAGTAGACATTTTGATATGTGTCACTCTAGTGGTAATGTTGATAATTAAAACACCGAGTGTAACTGAGTCGCAGCATTAAATGAATGATACACAATTGCATTTAGCGATAACGACTCGAACGTAACTACCAAGAATTATTTAAAACAATTATACAAACAAAAATAGTATTAACCACTTAAACGATATTACTGTTAATCTAAATCAATACGTGCCGATTGTGACTAATTATAATAATAAAGGAAATCATACATTTCAAACCATGGCTGCTGTGGTTAATAACAGACCTAAAGTAAGTGTATAGATATTTTAGGGCGTGTAATTGAATTAAGATTTTTCTTTTAAGTTTTCCTAATTGTAATAATTATTAATTAGTTAGAAGAAAATAAGTTACCAACAATGCGTACCTTACAACTCAATGGACACGTTGGTTTTGATAGTATGCCTGATCAATTAACTCATAAATCTGCACAAAATGGGTTTGTGTTTAATATACTTTGTATTGGTAAGTTCATAACTAGTTATATTAGGAATGTTCTTTCGTTATTTAGTTTTTGGTTTTATTGATTAGGTGAAACTGGACTTGGTAAATCTACACTTATGGATTCATTGTTTAATACTAATTTTGAATCCACTCCTTCTACACATAATTTACCTAATGTAAAACTAAAGGCCCATACCTATGAACTACAAGAAAGTAATGTGCAGCTAAAGGTACTAAATTATATTGACAAAAATTAAGATTTAACATAACTCTTATTTCTTTAGAAAGTGTTAACTCAGTGAATACAGTGAAACCAAATAAATGTTCACCTTTTATGGAATTTATGTCTTTTATTTTATTATCTTTTATGTATATACACTACTTCCCCTTTCTTTCTGAATTTCTTATTGTGAATTTTAAGTTTCATAATAATAAAACTATATTAAATATTTACTATATTGTTGACATAAAAGAATAATAGATTTTAAGGGGGATTTCATGAGTTATACTTATAATTTAGATAGCTATGTATTAATAAAAGTTAGTGTGTTTTGAAAACAAGTACAATTTTAATATTATAAAGTTTGCAATAAATTTCTAATAATGTACTAGAATTTCATAGTTTTATACAATTTAATTTTGTTATATTAATGTGGTTTTTTAATTTTTAGTTAACACTTGTGGAAACTGTTGGTTATGGTGATCAAATAAATAAAGAAGATAGCTTTAAATCTATTGTAGATTATATTGATGCCCAATTTGAATGTTATTTGCAAGAAGAATTAAAAGTTAAACGTTTATTATCAACTTATCACGATTCTCGTATTCATGCATGTCTATATTTTATCTGTCCAACTGGACATGGGTAATTATTTATTTTTAATATTAAATATTTAATGATAAATATAGTAATTTTAATGATGTATAAGTTAGATTTGGTATCTAATTTTTTTTTTTTTTTATATATAAATATTTGACTTAATTATTTTTAGATAATGTCTAAAATTTTGTTGATACTACTTTATTATGTTATAGTTTAAAATCAATTGATTTGGTGTGCATGAAAAAACTCGATACTAAAGTGAATGTTATTCCTATAATAGCAAAAGCTGATACTATTTCGAAATCTGAATTGCAAAAGTTTAAAGTAAATTGATGTTCATAGTCTTTAAATGATATCTTGTATAACTAATATTCTTTTCAAAGGTTAAAATAATAACCGAGTTAAAAGCTAATTGTGTTGAAATTTATCAATTTCCAACTGATGACGAATCTGTGGCAGATGTTAACTCTTCTATGAATTCTAATATTCCATTTGCAGTTGTTGGTAGCACAGATTTTGCAAAGGTTGCAAATAAAATGGTACGAGCTCGTCAATACCCATGGGGAACTGTTCAAGGTAAATATAGAAATAACCTATCAAATAATTATAGGATTATTAATTGATTACGGTATGTAAAAAAAATTTATATATAATTAAAACAATTTATAGTGGAAAATGAAGCTCATTGTGATTTTGTTAAGCTTCGAGAGATGTTAATTAGAACTAATATGGAAGATCTAAGAGAAAAAACTCATGAAAAACATTATGAACTTTATCGAAAAATGCGTTTAGAACAAGTAATTATAATAATTATAATAATAATAATTAAAATTATTTTAATCGTTAATTTTGAAATTGGTGTTATTTATTTAGCTTAAAAATATATAAATAAACAATAGTTTTAATAATGACTCTTGTATATTTTCAAAATTAGCACTCTAAGAACTATAAAAAAAACTTTTTAAATAGACTCATTGATTTAATTGTATGAATCTGTATAAAAAATATTGTATTTTAATGCAAATAATTCTGTATTCATGTATAACATAAACTTTTAGACTAGAATCCTCTTTCATCTTTTCGTTATTATTTTATCAATAAAAATAAAAATTATTAATATTCCTTTTTTATTTATCTTTTAGATGGGCTTTAGTGATGTAGATAATGAAAATAAACCATTGAGTTTCCAAGAATCTTTTGAAGCAAAACGTAGTCATCATCTACAAGAACTTCAAAATCGTGAAGATGAAATGAGACAAATGTTTGTAGTAAGAGTTAAGGAAAAGGAAGCTGAATTAAAAGAAGCAGAAAAAGAGGTTATTATTCTTAAATTAAAAAATATTCCTTTTTAAATATCCACTGTGATTAATTTGTTTGAGTTATATTTTCAAAAATATATATTTTATTAAAAGTATTTCAGGAGGGATTTTTTTAAAACTATAAGCTAAATTAACTTTGGATATTATCATTTTTATACCTAGGCGTAAAATAAGGGCGGCTGGGAAATGACTAGAGATAAAAATAGCAGCATCTACTTCGCACCTCCAGTCATTACTTTAAATTGTTAATAACTTCTGAAATACTGGTCCCAAAATTTATTATCAACCAGTCATTTTCTTCATTAGATCATCATTTTCTATTTTATAAGTTAATTTTAAGAGATGATTCTAAAAAGTAATTATTAGCTTATAAATCAAGAATTATATAAAACCAAAAGAAATCAAAAATTTGTTTTCCAATATCGTATTTATTTTATGAGTAATCATGTGGTTTATGATAATCCGATTACTCTATATATATATATATATATTTTTTTAATATCAATTTTAGTGAACTTTTGACCTTCTAACTACTTTTCAAATAATTTTTCTTTTAAATATTTTTTTTTATAAATTGGTTTTACTAAGAATAATTTATTTCTTATACAAATATATCTTGTAAAATATTAATATTATATGCTATTCTATAATATGTAACAAAAGTTTTATCATAATTGTATTGAAAATTTAGTTTTTAAAATACATTTTTTAGTTACATGCAAAGTTTGATAAATTAAAACGTGATCAAGATGAACAAAAAAAGAAATTAGAAGAACAACGTAGAAAGTATGAAGAGGACTTGATGGAATTTAATAAAAGAAAGCAACAGTACATGAATATGGGACATCACACCCTAACTCTGGGCAAAAATAAAAAGAAATGATTTTTTTAAACTATTAAACATTGCATGTTATTTATATAAAAAAATAATAATAACCTATGGATAACTGGAATACTTTTATACATTTATAATCGTTTTAATTAATTATACCATATTTTTGTTTAGAATTTAACTATATTATGATAAAAATAATTCTATTGAGAAATTAAGAATTGGTAGCAATAAATTAAAACAATAAAATTCCAACGGAGATTTAAGACTACTATGTTAATAAAATTTAACACTACATACTTTTTACTTAAATTATTTATATTTGTTGTGCATTTAATAATCCAATTAATTTCATGAAAAAAGTTCTCATATTTTAATTTATTAATTCAAAAATTAAAAAACGTTTTACACTATATCATACGTGCCAAATATTTCATTTGACTCAATGTATACATAGTGACATTTTTATCACAACCTATGTTATTGAACGGGTTATGAAAAAAAAAATTATTCTGTATATAGCATGATGTATTAAGTCTTCCTATCTATCATAAAATAATTAATCATAAAATTACTTAACTTTCTATAGCTAAGGAACTGTTTTCCTTATTAAGTACTTACAATTATTTTTATTTTATGTGTGTGTGTGTGTGTGTGTGTATGTAATTTTATTGGATTATTTTTAACATATTTAATTTTTTTATTATTGTTAATTTTGCTGTACTGATTAACAATTAAAACTGTTTTAAATGAACCAAAATTAGTTTTTACTTATCTATTAAAAAATATTATAAATTAGTCACAAAAATCTTAATATTTTTTATTTTAATTATTTATTATTTTTAACTTATGTATTGTAAGTTTATGCTTTGTACATAACATAGATATATAAAAATTGTGAACCATATTAAAATATATATTTTTACTATTTTAGTAGTTAAATAAACTAAAAATTATTCAAAAATTTGTATAATTTTTCTTAAGAGTTCCTTAATTTAATCTTGGATTTATTTTATTTTTCTCTCATAGCAATTTTGTAAATTTTATAGTTAAAAACTGAATACAAAAAATTTATACATATAACATGTGCTTTTAGGGTTCTCAAACAATATATTTTTAAATATTGTTATCCCAATATTTTATGGTATATTGCTATACATTGAAAATGAATTGTATTTTGTTTAGGTATGTGTCTAAATAAGTATAAGAGATCCCACTAGAAAATGGAATTTCGGTTCTATATTAATCCAGTACTATGGCTTATTATTATAATACTTATTTTATATTAAAATCATCAATAATTATTCTTGTATTAACATAGTTATTTTAACAACAGTATTGAAATTAACTAAAAAAAATTGCCTGTTATTGATGTCCTAACGAAGTGTCGTTTAAAGATCATAATATTCACTCTGTCATCACTGGTTCTGTAACTAAATACAACAGTCGTAAATAAAAATGTTTTATCTCATGTAGAGAAAAATAATTTCATTCATTATTTTCTCATGAGACATCCTGCAATCATAATTTAAAATGGTATTTATATCTAATCTATGGTATAAAATTATTATAAAGATAATGCTGACAAGTTTCTCATGCACTAAAGTGCGGTTCAATTTGTTATAATAAAGAAGACGTGTTCGTCATCACAATATTTTACTCTGTGGTCAGTAAAGATACACGAAGGGGAGAAAACACCTACCGAATGACGGATAAGGTTCTATTCCTTTAGAAGACATAGGAGGGTGTTTGTTTCGGAGAGAAGGTCAAATACTGAATACCTTGTTCCACCTGTTAACTGTAATACTGTACAGGTCGTCTTTAGTTGTTTCATAATTTCAACATCAGATTGCTGCGTTACATTATATTTGGTGAGCAGGTAAAATAAAAACTGGTTCTTCGTTTCATTTTCTTCCATGTTAATACTGCCCTATAATTCTTAAAATTCTTTTGAGTACTAATATGAACACTTATCTGTGTGGTGGGTATTAAATTAATAATATCGGAATGAAATTCAATCAAAATATTTTTTAATTAAATTTCATAAGAATTTTTTAATTTTAGTAGAAATAATTATATTTTTTGTTATTAATTTGTTTTAATTAAACGAACGAAATAAAATACACAACTTTATTGTGATCAAAGGAACAATTCAAAGTAGTATTACTAAATTAAACTGAATAACAAGTCTTGTTCAATCAATTTCTTGTTTAGGCCCCTAGCTCAATAATATTAAATGGACATTTTAAAGCCTGTAAAGAAACTAAATTTATTTTACTAATTGTGTAAAAAATTACATATCAGTGCCTACGGTGATCGCTGAGGAGCAAGCCAGGAAGAGTAACACTGGAGTCATTTAGATACCTAGTAGTCTTTATTAATTATTAAATACATTAAGAACAAAACCATCATAATGAATATCTATTAACATTTTCACACATTCTACATTTAACTTTAATGATGTTTTTTTTATAAATAAAATTTTCAAAATAATTTTTTCATTTTACATAACTGAATAACTTAATATTTTTAACAGTTGATTTTTATGCGTTTTCGGGGTCGTATACGCAAAGGTACCTCAGTTTTGGTTATTCGTATTGAATTTTACTACCGTCGAATATTGTGTTGCACACTAATACACATTGAGACGTTGTTGAAGGTGATCCAGTTGACAACAAGCTGCTGTGTCTATGTAAAATATATTACCTATACTGCAAACTCGCATTTAATTACAGATATTTTTAAATATTTTATGAAACCATAACTATCTAATTATTAGCGTGTTCTGGTATATTACACATTTTTTTTTTTTTTGATTACATATTATGTCAGCGATGTAAAAATCATTAATATTTTTTGGTATTCTTTTTAAAGTATAAAGCTTTGTCTGCGATGATTTTATTACTTTAATCCCATTGCAATGTAAAAAACATAAATTATGAAATATATTCTTTTTATTTTAGAATTATATTTTTAAAGTTATTCTTTATATCCAAGTAAACATATGTATATTTATTTATGATTTTGGTGTATTAATTAAATATTAGAAATAACACATGGATCTCTGAAATGACTTTTACAGATTCAGATGTATAAAAGTGATCTATCTATTTTGTTTCAAAAGAACTAATTGTAAAAGTACAGTGCTTTCATATGCCAGGACACACTATACTAACGTATATTAAGTCTTTCTACCATATGTAATAAGAACAATGACGGTGATAGTGGTGTGATAATGAGGATAACTGAAAATTGTAATGTTCAAAAAAATTATATTTACTTAAATTATTCGATTTATTATATATAATAAAAAATTCAACTATAAACACTGTTTCGTGATGTTTTAAATATCATAACTTTACATTAGTTTATATATTGTAAAAAGTCAAATGAAAACGGTGAAGTATTATATTTTCCAAGACACGATTATTTATTAGTTTTTAGCTTCGATGCGAAGCTGAGAAGGTATTGGTTTTACTATGATGTGTTTTTTTTTTTTTTTTTTTGTGTCTGTTACCACTTTTTCTCAGCTCTCACCGAACGGATTTCTTTCAACGATACGTCAAAAGATCACAAATCGTATCTAGTCGAAGACATTACCCTTCAAAATTGAAAAAATTTTCCTCGTTCCCCGTAAATGGGGGAAACCTCCAAAAAAATTACAAATTTAAAAATCGCTAATTTTCGATATTTTTTCATTTTTTTTTACTTAAAATTGCCATAACTTTTTAAAAAATGTATGGATCAATACAATTTTTTCATGAGAAGTAGTAATTATATACATCTTTCATTGGATATACTTTTTTTTTAAATCAGACTATTTCCCTATATATGGGGGGGCTTCAAATATAAAAAATGCATATAGAAAGTAGAACTTTTTCAACTTAACTTTTGAAAGTGTTCCGGAAGGTCTGACACTTTTATATATATCTTAAATTAAAGCTAATGTAATATACTTTAATTTGAAAAAAAAAAATTTGACCTCTGGACTTGTCTTCACGGCGAAAATGGCTACCGAATGCTATTTTCGTGTGAAAATTCTCGATTTTATTATTTATATTATATTTAACTTTATAATGCTATAACTTATTGAAAAGTTTATGGATCCACACAATTTTTTTATGACAAATAATGTTTTTTAATAAACCCTTTTTCATTCGACATACTTTATCTTAATCGAGATATTAATAAGGAACCAGCAGATCAAGTAGCTTTTGGAATAAAACACCAATTTTTTTAAAATTAAACACTATCTAAAGATTTGCATCGAAGCGTTTATTTTTGATAGTGATTTTAATCACTGTCAGATATCATTTACTTGATCCAACTATGCCACGTCACCACTGTGCCGCGACCCCCCTGTGCTGGGTTTTTAGTTATCTGTTTACAAACACATTTTAAGGATCCATCCAATTTTATAATCAAAATCAAACTTTACATTTATATTGTATGTAAGTACTTATTGTCACTTGCCGTGAAAAACTTGCTTATGTGCAAAAAATTAAATATCTATTATCAGAATATTTTTTCTAAATCTAAGGGTATCAATAATTTTTAATTTCATCTTTTACATATACGAAGTTTTTCTACGTCAAGCAATCATATTACACAGGGCATTTAAAAAGTAAGAAAACGTGTCAATTGTTACAAACAATGAGAACAATAGAAACCTATTTCCTTACTTACTAAACACCCTTTATATCTATCATGTATTGTATAATGTACAATTTACAAAAAAAAAAATATATGTTTCTTACATGAGATTTTATGTGTTGGTCTGAGTAACTGAATAAATCGACTAGTAATAAAATGATAATTTTTTCAATAACCGATTGGACCCCTCATTTTTTATCATAATTTTGCAAACAATCTATTGGTATAGTTAATTATGTTTTAAGGGAATTAAACGAAAAAAAATAATTGTATGAACTATTATTTCTCTGTCATGGAAAATATAAAATGTGTAAAGAAATATAAGGTTTATGTATCTATTTTACTTGGATATTATTTATTAATGTTAAATTTAATAGCTTATGTTAAATTTTAGCTTAAAATTTAAGTACGAATCCAATAAAACTAGAAAATTTTACAGATAGGTTTTGGCATACTAGTAAACAAAAACGCAGTGTTTTTTTTTTACAAAAATCTTGCGTAATATTTGTTTAAAGAACATGTGTTTTTTACCTTATGTTACAGGTTGAACATGCATGTGTGCTCACAGTTGAAAGCCAACGCGGTACACTATTAAAAACAATTAAGGTGCTACAGCCGAAGTACAAATATTCACGTGTACAAGAATAATGATTATTATTGACTGCAGTTTTTATAAGATTTTTGGGATCGTCCAACAATGTAACTGTGTATTATTGTGGTTTTTGAATGACCACTAATGAGTGCGATATCCACAATGGGAGCCGCGAATCATCTGAACAAGGAGCTGAATAAAAACTATGCCCGATCGCTAACACCTTCACATACCTACTTAGTTCTATTTTTTTAATTTTCTTAACGTAGAGCTGTGCCTAAATGGATTTTGATTGTCCTTCAATGTATAAACGAATAATAGGTAGATTTATTTAGTGCAGAATTTATTGTGAGACCACAAATGAGTTCTCACGAAACGCTTTACTAATGAATTTAACGATATACATGCACAGTTATTTTATGAGTACACTTTACATTGTATTCGTGTTATTTGTTTTTAATACTTTTATTTGCACAGTGTAAATTTTCGTTTTGAGTTGGATAAGTTATTAATAAGTGGTACGCTAGCCATCTGTACAACTATAATACATTACAACTAATTGTCGTTAAAAAATTATTTTAATTTATATGTTCGTTTTATTATTTTCACTTAATTGAATATTACTTTTTAATAGAGATTATTTCAACTCGTAGTAAAAAATAACTAGTTAATAGCAGTGGTCGCTCGTGGGTGTTGGTGGTGGGGACGCGACTTTAAAAATAACACCGCTAGTCGTAAATATAAAAAATTGACAAATTTAATATAATGAAATAAAGCACAAAACACATATTATTATTGTAATAAGATGACAGTAGAAAATAGAAATGAAAATAGTAATAATAGCGATTATACTATTATAAAAACCGATAACGACAAACAGTTAATTCTAAAAATAAATTACCCAATTTAGTAATAAGCTAATATTTTACCGTTGGACGACGCTGCCGGTCATCCAAACACTGCTCTTGTGTGTACGCGTACCACCACATATACTGAGGGAAACAACTCTAATGTTCGTGTGCCGACAAATATATTACAACTATTCTACTGCTTAAAAATCTGCATTTTTAATGAAAATGTAGTATTAAGAATACGCAATTAATTTTATTCTATTAATTAATTTTAGCAAGGGGTACGATCGTTCCATCGTCCAAGCCACGGGCCGCCACTGGTTAATAGTATGAATTTTCCAACGTCAATTTAAAAGAATTATTACTTGACCTTTTTTACATTTGTTTAATTAAAAATTTAATATTTAATGGAATATAACGATACAGTTGATATAGTGTTCTCCTTCAATAAAAGACTCTTGATTTATTAAAATAAATTGCTCTTTAAATTTTTGTCCTTGTAAAACTATGCAATTTTCAAGGAACCCAGTCATATTGAAAACCACTACTGTTTCAATAAATATATGAAAATTAATTCTTTACTCGAGCAATTGAAAAATTTCCTGCGAATAATATCTTATGAATAATATAAAAAATATTTCACATAATTAAATATTTTATTTAACATATTCTTTAATAACAGCAATTTATTAATTATGTAATTATGTATTATAAATAGTAATAGTAATAATAATATAATATATAATCATGTTATAAAAATCTTCGGAATATACTTTTATAATTTATTAAATTTTTTATAATACCATTATTCATAAGTATTTAAATGGCACACTATTTCTACTCATTATATCAGTCGTCGATTTCATAATAACAGTAATAGTATTTACTATTATTAGTATAGGCTATTTATTTACAGCTTTCTTTGATGAAATGTTGTTATACCTCGCGAAGTATACATCAAGGCTTTTCGGAGGAATGAAGTCCGAAAAAATATTTAAATCAAATAAAAAAGTTTTTAAGATTGTCTTGCACAATAAACTAATTGAAAACTTGTATTTTTTTGTATATTTCGCGAGGTACAAGTTACAATCATAAAATAAATTTATTGTAACTACGACATTATTGTTTTTTATGTAATATTAGTTTTTAACTATTGATCGCAAATTTAACATATTACGACCACTATAACTGTTACATAAAATTAAATAAAAACATATATTATTATTGAGCAAAATCATACACGATTAAATAAAGTTGTAATACATAAATATATTTACAAAAAACAAAACTGGTATCAAATTGCTAAGCGAGTAGTTTCAAGAATATAGAGTTTAGCGTTTTAAGTAAAAGTAAAAGTAAAAAAAAATTTAGTAATAATAATAATATAGCATCTGTACAGACTAAATAAACGTTTGAATATTTAAAATATAACATTAAGTCTAATCAATAACAATAAACAACTTAAGTATTTGTTAGATACAACTAAAAATTATTAAGCATGAACAGATAGGCGTAGTTTTCTCACAGTAGTCATTTGTTTTGTTACCGTTTATTTGTCCTTGAGACCATTCATTTTGTAGGTCTCGCGCATAAAGTTTGGATAGTATTTAAAATAGTCTGTCTGTCCTTTAAAATAGACTTTAAAACAAGTGATCATATAAAAAATGGTCTATTTAAAAATAAAATAACATAAACTATTATTAATACACATAAAATAGTGATAATTAATGATACTCGACAAAAATGATTTGTTGTGTTGGCCATGTTTGGTATATTTTGTAAGTGTGATGGTGAAAAAGGTATTCCATTTTTGGCTAATACTCTTCGTATACCTGAAACAAAAAATTAATGATTAATTTCTCTGTTCATGCGCCCGATAGACATTTTATTTTCAAGATATACTTGTAAATACCAATTTCAGATAATTATGTTAACGTGTGAATATTCCCAAATAATTAAGACCAAATTAACATAATACTCCTAAGATAGCTGTTTTTACAAATTGAACCGCTCTATTCGTTCTTCATTAAGTATATTACACAGTACTTACATAGGTTGTTGACTCTGCAGCCGTTACCAAAAACTACTTTAATATTCGACGATTTATGTTCCGGACAAAATTATTAAAATTTTAACTCGTATAACTTATTCAGTTTTTTTTTATTATACTTAGAGAATAATATCGAATAATAAATCCTAGAAATATATTTGTGAAGACATTAGGTAGGTATTTGTAATTACATCAGTAAAATATGTATATACTTTTGGATTTACTCAAAATCTTTAACAAATTAATCTCTCGTTAAAAATGATCATAAATTAGGGATCAAATATAATTCTAATAAATGCGTACAAATTTATCTGAAATTATATAATCCAAACGAATCTTTGACATATTATTCTAAAGAACATTATGTAATTTAACGGTTAGAAGACTCGGAAAGCTATACTGACAAAAGTAAATGTCTCGTTAAAATTGGTAGGAAGCGCATTACCAAAGTATGCGTGGATGAACATGAAATAAAAAATATTAAATGTACCAACATATCGTGAGGTGTTACATAATTTTCAACGTATTATTTTCCTAGGAATATTATGATAATTTACAAACGGCGATGAATAATTACTGTAGATGTGATATGGTTGCGCAACACGATTGTGATGTCGGTTTCCAGGGTGAAGGATGAAGAAAGTGAGGTTATTATTCATAATGGTACATAAAACATAATAGTAATACGACGTGCTTTATGTATTGTATGAGGTCTATATAAAATGCACCTTGATATGTGGGTTCGACTTTTTCAAAAACTTACAATAAACGAACTGCCTTAAATTGTCAATGGTGTTGGTTTAAAAAACAGATTACAAGACAAGATTTCGACGATATGATTTTCTAAAGAATATGTGCACGTTCAAATCACTACCATAAACTTGCATCAATAGACCGAGAGTCTGTGAAGAGTGGCTTATTTTTGAGTAGTGACTTCTTATCTGTAAAAACTGTTGTGATATTTTTATAAGCCGGCCTATACACATACATTTTTATGCGTGTAAATCGATTTTTACTTTTTATGTCAAGTTTACGTTTTTATTCATATTTAAAATAGTCTGCTGCATTAGTCATAATAAAACTTGTCAGTTGAACAACATGCAAATGTTCGAGACACGAGTATAAGATTAAAAATACAACGGGGCTTGAATATTAGATGAAAGGGAATGACGAAACATTTTTTTCAACTCGAGAATAATCATTCTACTTATTTATAAACACTGAGCTAATTTTAAGCTGTGGTATCAATGCAACTTGGAGTGCGTTTTATGAAAAGGCAGTATAGATTTAGGTTCGCAAGTCAAAGAACTGACAATTGCACGAGTCACAAAACGTGGGAAAGTTGTGCAAATCTCAATATTTCAAGGCTGCCTGGAAATGTAAACATTGTGTTGGTTCAAGTGACGGGTGTGTAAGCATATTGTTTATAAAGTCGTCGTCGTACCAATTATCACGGTGATTTATACGTTTTTAAATTGGATTTATGTACTTCTCGAGGTATGCGAATGTACTCTAATTATGGGTGTGCTAGACACATTCCAGAGAAGCCTGGAGGTACATATGACTAGAGTAAATATACTTGTAACCACTACAAAGATCCTACGATAACTCTAAACCTAAATGTATACAGAATTATGAACGGTTAACTTACTGCTGAGGTAGCTATACAATTAAATACATGTAAATTAATTATAATTAAATAAATTAAATTAATGGCAGCTTAAAAATAACTGCACGTTGCTATTAAGTGTCATAATAGTATTTAATTTGAAAAAATTAATGCTGGTTGATTTAAAAAATTAGAGCAGTAGAAGTTATTGCAATTACTCATGTTTTATCATACGTTTTAACTAACCACATTATCGTTAAATAAAATAGATGGTTTGTAAGTCGATTTCTAACCACAATGTTCATAGATTAATCATACAAGAAAGTCCCGTTATAATTATACATCGATCTCCGTTTTAGATAATGATAAGCAATTTCACATTATCTTGAACTATTTTTGTATCAAAAACAATTGTGTTAACTTAAATCAACACCATGTATTTTACTTTATTACTATCATTGGCACAATTTGGGGGTCTAGAGGGACCATAAAAATCTCCCTCCCAAAAAATATTATGAAAATTATACGTAAATGTATGTAGAAATATTTTTTTAACAGGGGAAAAATTAAGTTAGATCCACAAACATTTTGTTCAAACTGCATCTGTAATCATAGACTAGATTGTTTAGCATAGCAATGAAAAAAAATTTTAGTTTTTGATAAGAATGAGTTGGTTACAACCTAATATTTGTACAATAAAAATAAAAAAATTGGAAACGCGATTTATATATTTTGTATTTTGAGACAATTTTTGAATTATAGTTTTTCGTGTATATATATAACACACCTTTAGATTAAGAATAACAGAAATAAAGTATCCTGCAGACACTAGTTAAGTTTGGCTGGACAAGATCATTTTATTTAAAGGAACATTATACAAGGTAACACAGTATGTAATTTAATATACCAACTCAGGTTATTTATAATTGGACCCAACTAGAAAAACACAGGTATGAAGTACTAACAAATAAATTATTATATAAATTTTAAATACAGAAGCCTTCTGTCTTTACTTAACATTGAGATTTATTAAATATAATTTCTATTAATTATGACAATGTAATTAAAGAAATTTTTTTTTTGCGTTCCACACAAGTGACTGCAATGTTATTAGGCTGGTTGGGTTAAGCTAACCGTTACAAGCACAACAGGTATTGGAAAGGGGCGACGTGTATTGCTGCCGGTCATTTGAACAGTTCCGGATTTTACAAAGGATAGGACGACGTCGGAATCGAACTCAACGATAACCTAAATAATAATATTATATACCAACCGACCGTTTTGTCCGACATTCTCTTATTCTTTATTCTCTTGCGTGAAATTTCCTACTGTTCCCCACTTTTTATCAGTATAATAAGTAGCGATTATTAAGCATGCTTCACAATATGCCGGCACAATCCGTGCAACGTACATGAAGATCGATAATGATAGACGTCCATGACGACCTCCTATGTAAAATTTCAATTTTTATTATTTCACTATTTTTCGCATGTAAACAAAAACTTATTATTGTCATAATTATTATTTTTTTACTTTGAGATTAAAATGCCCCACACATGGTAGTTTTATTTTTAATGTCGTTACATTTTGGGATGTTCAACTGTTATGTCTAATTGTTATTTAAAAACTTGAATACAATTGTGAGAACAACCTGCTCGTTCACGAAAATGTTGTTGCTAACATCGACTAATAATCACAATGGCAAATTCATTAACAACAATGTTAAAATAGTAATATGTTTCCCATAAACATTAATTCGTCTTTTAATTAATTACTTACAAAGCGAAAACGTCAATTGTTATAAAAGCACAAATCTCAATGTTGTCAGCTGTATCGGTTTTCAATTATTGCAGTGGGCGTGTGTGGGTTAATCTGTACATTTTGAATTTGAACAGTTCACATCACATCGAAAGATGTATTTTACTATGATACATTAGTATTTTATCACGATTTAAAATTTAATTGGGTAACCTCTATACAAAATATATATTTCAAGACATTTTTTTATAGGTGGCTTATCAGAGGCGGCGATCTACCTATTATTCCCTTATCAACCTTTCTTAATTTTCATTTCCCCCATTGAGTAACAAAATGAAATATAAGACAAATTATAATCAAAAAAATTAAAGGTTTCAAAAAATATTTAAACATGTAACGAGTCTCAATAAAATAATAGCAAGTACATGTCGTGATAGACGCATCTTCAAATTGTTGACGATAATTATATTTTTGTTACCATTTCTCTATGTCGTGATTGAAAATTGGGCCATGAAAGTAAAATCGTCTTGGAATTTCATAGCCGATTATTTTGATGAACATTTTCGATATGTGATGATTGTAATAAATATGTATTAGAGTTTCAATCAACATGATAAAATTCTTCATACCGAGTTTAACGGTAAACATAGAGATTTGTTTGTGAACCAAATATTTATTGAGCGACGGTTTAATACTTGACCGATTGAAGAATGCTAAATAATACTCATGTTAAATTTTACACCATAAGCGTTCGAAAACGATTGCTAATCTCTTTAGTTAAGATTTATTTGAAATTGCAATGATAAAAATCTAACGGGATGGTACCCTTGGTACCATAAAGGTTCCTGAATGGTAACTTTACGCCGTTGATAAGTCTCTCTCACTTGGGGTTGCTGTTGGCGAACAGGTATTCCCATGTCTACCAATCCTAAAAATTGAAAATGTCTGGCTGTATTATCAATGGTATATATTTCCACCATCACTGAATGACTAGGAACAAATAAAATTTGAACGTATAGTTCAAAAAATAATTAAATTTAAATTAAATTATAATTATTTTTTTTAAATGCCTATACTTTTTATACAGTTACCACCTATATAGTTTTTATATTGCGATTAATAACAACTTATTCAAAATCTAGTCGATATTTTAATCTAGTTAATAATCATAATAATTTAATACATCAAAAAAAATTAATAGCAGATATTTTGTTCAGAATACTGAATAATATTAACTCAAAAAATATACGGCTTTTCTGTATACCAAATAAAAATATCAGGTTTTTCCATACTTACTGATTTGCCCATCACTAATTTTAATCTTATACTATTATTTTTCTTGAATCTAAATTAGATTTATGAAGGGTTGTAAAATATAAAATATCATAACGGTCACTTAGGAATGCCGTTTTATATTTAAGAGAAAATTATAATAAATTAAATACCAAAAATCGTGAAGCATTTACGTTGCAATAAAATAAATTTACTGACACACGACACTACGTTTATAATAATTATTACTCTTGTTGTTGTCCAACACTGGACATTTATGTATTGTAATTTTGCCAGACACGCCGTGGGAGTCTCTGGTCGCCCTTCGGATTCTTTAACAAGTTCTCTCTATAAGTATAAAATAAAATAGAGCTCCTACGCGTGCAAAAATATAAATTGCTTTTGAAAAATTGTTTAGTCTTTTGAATAAAAATTATTAATAGAAATTTTTTTTAAGTAAAAGAAATAATCCATTTGTGGCGTTAAACAATTAATAATTGCAACTTGGACTACACGGAGGAATGTCATTTCCACGAGAGATTTCTCCGAGTTAAGTTCAGGGTTTTCTAACATAAATTAATTAGAAATCTGTGGTGCGCCAGTTTAGGATATTAACCACGACAAGCATTATAAATCAGGAGATAGATGGCTGACGTAGATGGAAAATACTAATAACGATGGTAATATCAAACGGATAAGGTACTTGAATGCAGCACATAGAAAGCAGCAATGGCTGAGAATGCAAAAGTTCTTTAGACTTGCACACTGACTTGTCCGTTAATCATCTCAAATGCACAATGCACATGACACGTATTTACCTTAGATGGAAACAAACGGATTCGATATTCTTATCGAATAAAGAGGAGAAACTGCAGTTTGATTTTTTCGACGATTTCACCGGCGGCGACTTAAAGGTGGAAAATGCATAACATGACATTTTAGGAGAACTTCGAAATTGTTACCTTCGGAAAAACTGCAACAACTAATCGTGTACGTAGCATTTAGTCGTAAATTTCATTTTGTACAAATCAAATAAGGTAAAAATATTCATTCGACTCGATTGTATTTTTTTTCCGTATAAACAAACAATATATTTATTTATGCATATCTGATTTTGAAAATAATTTTAATAATAAATTATTTATTTTCACTCGAAAAAGAAAATTATTTAATGTTACAAGTTGTTACAATGTTGTAAGTTCTTTAAAAATATTTTACTCTTTTAAAACAAGAGTGGAACTATAAAAAGTCGTGCTTTCCAAGTAAAAAAATCGTGCTCTTACATTCGTTTGGGTGGAAACGTAAAGTGCGAATAAAAAGTCAACCATTATTATTTTTTTTACATAAGTATGCATTCTAGTCAAGGATAAATTGAATCCGTTTATTTTTACAACACCTTGACAATTCTCTAAGCACTAAAAACAATCACTACACAAAATCGAATCAATTTAAGACATTGGTAATTTTGCTAACAACAAAATTGAAAGTAAAAATAACAACTGTATTATGCAACTATGTTATTCGTGACATTTAAAATTAAATATTATGGAAAAATGTAAAAAATATTACCAGAAAAATANGCTAAATAATACTCATGTTAAATTTTACACCATAAGCGTTCGAAAACGATTGCTAATCTCTTTAGTTAAGATTTATTTGAAATTGCAATGATAAAAATCTAACGGGATGGTACCCTTGGTACCATAAAGGTTCCTGAATGGTAACTTTACGCCGTTGATAAGTCTCTCTCACTTGGGGTTGCTGTTGGCGAACAGGTATTCCCATGTCTACCAATCCTAAAAATTGAAAATGTCTGGCTGTATTATCAATGGTATATATTTCCACCATCACTGAATGACTAGGAACAAATAAAATTTGAACGTATAGTTCAAAAAATAATTAAGTTTAAATTAAATTATAATTATTTTTTTTAAATGCCTATACTTTTTATACAGTTACCACCTATATAGTTTTTATATTGCGATTAATAACAACTTATTCAAAATCTAGTCGATATTTTAATCTAGTTAATAATCATAATAATTTAATACATCAAAAAAAATTAATAGCAGATATTTTGTTCAGAATACTGAATAATATTAACTCAAAAAATATACGGCTTTTCTGTATACCAAATAAAAATATCAGGTTTTTCCATACTTACTGATTTGCCCATCACTAATTTTAATCTTATACTATTATTTTTCTTGAATCTAAATTAGATTTATGAAGGGTTGTAAAATATAAAATATCATAACGGTCACTTAGGAATGCCGTTTTATATTTAAGAGAAAATTATAATAAATTAAATACCAAAAATCGTGAAGCATTTACGTTGCAATAAAATAAATTTACTGACACACGACACTACGTTTATAATAATTATTACTCTTGTTGTTGTCCAACACTGGACATTTATGTATTGTAATTTTGCCAGACACGCCGTGGGAGTCTCTGGTCGCCCTTCGGATTCTTTAACAAGTTCTCTCTATAAGTATAAAATAAAATAGAGCTCCTACGCGTGCAAAAATATAAATTGCTTTTGAAAAATTGTTTAGTCTTTTGAATAAAAATTATTAATAGAAATTTTTTTTAAGTAAAAGAAATAATCCATTTGTGGCGTTAAACAATTAATAATTGCAACTTGGACTACACGGAGGAATNCGAAACGATTGATTGACCTAACTAGAAAACCACTGAACAATTATTATATTCCGTGCAAAATTCCAACATTCAGTTATATTGTACAAATCACGTTGTGGGCGAGCACGTTTAGGGTGTCTGAGCGAAAACATTTCTATCTCAATTTAAATAGCTCAAAACGTGACATTTGTTTATATTTTTGATGAGAAACTTATACTTAGAATGTTCGCAAATTTTCTTAGAAGTTATGTAACGATTTGATCAGTTATCATAATTGTTATTCTCCAATGTTCAGTCCACTTATCAGTTATTTTATGCTAAAGAATTTAGAATCGATACGAATTTCGTGCTCGGTACGAATCTCATTTACCTAATTTCGATTTTTTGGTAGCATAGAACCGGTGTACTATGCGCTTTGTTTATAAAAATAATAATAAAAAAACTGTATTGTATCATAATCCTAAGGGAATTTATTATGGTAAATTACAGTTAGGTCTAAAAGTTAATGGCGAAGAAGATGACTATAGCTTTTTTTAAGATTTTTGATTTTGGNTTTACCTTAGATGGAAACAAACGGATTCGATATTCTTATCGAATAAAGAGGAGAAACTGCAGTTTGATTTTTTCGACGATTTCACCGGCGGCGACTTAAAGGTGGAAAATGCATAACATGACATTTTAGGAGAACTTCGAAATTGTTACCTTCGGAAAAACTGCAACAACTAATCGTGTACGTAGCATTTAGTCGTAAATTTCATTTTGTACAAATCAAATAAGGTAAAAATATTCATTCGACTCGATTGTATTTTTTTTCCGTATAAACAAACAATATATTTATTTATGCATATCTGATTTTGAAAATAATTTTAATAATAAATTATTGATTTTCACTCGAAAAAGAAAATTATTTAATGTTACAAGTTGTTACAATGTTGTAAGTTCTTTAAAAATATTTTACTCTTTTAAAACAAGAGTGGAACTATAAAAAGTCGTGCTTTCCAAGTAAAAAAATCGTGCTCTTACATTCGTTTGGGTGGAAACGTAAAGTGTGAATAAAAAGTCAACCATTATTATTTTTTTTACATAAGTATGCATTGTAGTCAAGGATAAATTGAATCCGTTTATTTTTACAACACCTTGACAATTCTCTAAGCACTAAAAACAATCACTACACAAAATCGAATCAATTTAAGACATTGGTAATTTTGCTAACAACAAAATTGAAAGTAAAAATAACAACTGTATTATGCAACTATGTTATTCGTGACATTTAAAATTAAATATTATGGAAAAATGTAAAAAATATTACCAGAAAAATATATTGTATACATAGTAATCAACTTAGTATCGTCAATGTTTTTTCTTTGTTTTAATTCATATTTTTACAGAAAAAATCATAATTGGAGCAGTCATAAAAATTGTAATGATTGGTATTTTTTTAATAAATACCTACGGAAAATTGTAAAAATATCTAAAATCTGAAATCAGTTCAGCCACAATCTCATAAAATTTAAGTTTTTTATGATGCCGTCTATTTTTTCATGGATGATGAATTTAGTTTATAGAGTTAACTAATTTTCAATAGTGACTTGACAAATATTAAGTCAGACGTTGTGTCGATTATAAACCAATCAACTATGCATTTATCATATAAATTGTAAAAAAATAAGTGAAAGTAGGGAAATTGATTAAAATTGACAAACCGAAAACGGACGAAGAAAAAATATTAATTGATGATCATAAGAAACCATTTGCTTACTGTAGTAAAACAGTTAATTAGTAAATGGTGACATACGACTATTTATAGACGATCATTTTGATTTATTCAACACGGGTTTTTTAAAGGTAACACTTAGATTCTTTGACACAAAACTTTATCAACAAATACTACGGGACATTTGCAGTAAAATATCAATGAATTGATATATGCCGCCGGAATTCCTCAGGTTCTCTGAATACTGCAATGATTTGCTTGTGCTGAATACCAAAAGTACACACTGGTATGGTTATTTG